TATTTATTTAATATAATGCAATGTATGTTTTAAATGAGTTGGTATTATTTTGACACAACATTGGTTGTAACAATTGTTATATTATTATTTTTTACTATATTTGATTATTATTTTTATTATTATTATTATTTTAAAAATGTAAATTTTTTAGTAAGAATAAAATGTAAGTAGTAAACAATCCAAAATATTAATTATACATGGTGATTTTAATATTCCGAACCCCCTAAAAGTTTTTTTTTTTATTCTCATTTTTTTGTTTGTTTTTTAAACAAAATTAATGGGATTAAAAAAAAATTTTAGGAGGTCCGAAACATAAAAATCCCCATGTTTATTTGAATTCTGATTTTTTAGTAGTGTTAGGATCCTTTAGGATCTTGAAACTAGATTTTTTTTTAGTTAAAACAGTAAATTACTCAATTTATAGATAAATAATAATTAATTAATTAAGGATAAGAGTAAATTTTGATAATTTAATCGAAATAAATGATGATAAAAAATCCTTTCTTATTATATTAAGTTCTAAAACGACCGACACCGACCGACACCAAAAACTAATTTTTCGTTTTCTTTTTAAAATTATTTACAGTTTTCCTTCAAAATTTGAAATCACATGCCTTACATACATGTCTATTCAAAAAAAAATGCCAAATTTTTTTTTGCGCGATTTTTTGCAAATTTATAATTATATTGTATATGCATGTAAATCACGGGGATTTTTGTGAATCAAATGTTTTTGGTCGATGACTGGTGTAAACCGGAAGTCGGGGAAAAACTTGTTTCAGACGCGCGCGCGCGCACGAGCGCGTTGAAATAATGGCATGTGCCTCGAGGGTGAATTGACGCACTTTAATCTCTTTCTCTTCATTTGGCGATCAAAATTCATTGATTTACAATCTCATAAAATTTAGACGTTATTTTTAACCGACGCTCAATGCTTCTATATATATTTATTCAAATTTACATTTCTTGCACTATATAAGATGTCCGCTTATTCGAACAAAGCAGAAAAAAACCGACATTTTTTTTAGATAAATTAGTAACTAATTAATTAAAATTAATTAACTAACTAATTCTTAGTCAAAAATGACTATAATTGATAGTAGAAAACTACTAAATCGTTTATTAAAGTTTACTAATTAAAATAGTATATAGCCATTACTATAAATAAATTAGTAGTTTTTTTACTAAAAATTAGTTTATTTTTAAATCCAATTATTAAATCAATGTTTTGAGTATTTATTATTATTATTATTATTATTATTATTAATTTAGTAACTTTTGACTAATTCAGATTTGGAGAGCAAGAAATAGTTTTTAGAAAACTTTTCATAAAAAAAAAAATTTTTTTAAATTCATTGATCGTAAACGTTGTGACTTTCATCATTGTGAAAAAAAAAGAAAAAAAATTATAAATAAAAAGAAAATTTTAAGACGTAACAAAATAGAATCATTTAACTCCGGGAAAGGAAACGATTTATTATTATCATATCAGTTTTTTTATCCGCATTTAAATTGCCATTTGTCAAAAAAGATAAATTCACATATTCGACACAATTGATTTTCTCCTTCTCTGTGTATGAAAACTATATGTCCGCATCTATCGTGAGTGACTTTTTATGTATATATCGATTAATCGCATTCTCAAAGAAAGATAAGATAAGGGGTTAACAGGGTGTGAATAAACGCGGACCGTTAGATCTGGAAAATGTTCATCCAAATGAAACAAGGGACACCTTGTGGAAAAAAAATATATATATATACAAGACACTTAACCAAACATATATGTATATATATATAGAAAATCTCTCCAACTAACGGAATCACTAAACATCCACATTCCACCTTTTTTTTTCCTCTCTCATGTATAATCTTTATCTCTCAAACTTATAATATATACAGTTAGCTTCCTGTCTCAGAAATTATCGAAATTAACAATCACAACTTTTTTTTTCTTTTTTAGAAAAAATCGGATTTGAAGGAAAAAAAGTGACCTTTTTTTTCATATCGTGTGAACTGAGAGGCGAATAATAATTGAATGTATAGAGAATGCAATTGATTTTTGCTTTTGAAATAGTTCGTGATTCAAGTCGCAGAGATTGGATTTGACTGTATATAAATTCGCATCAGTGATATATATAATAGCGCAATCACGAAATTTCACTATATATATATATATATATATATATATACGTGTAGAGTACAATAATTTCTTCCGTGTCTCGAATTCCCCCCCTGACAATATATATATATAAAGGATGTTGGCAAAAAGGCGTTAAGTCAGATCACGACCCTATGGGTATAAGTACGGCGTTCCGCGAAGGGTTAATATGCAAATAAAGTCCAGCATGCGTATGGACACACACACATATAAGCAAAAGTCAATTCGCGCAGACATTGAAGAAATAACGTTGCAACTTTTGAGACACGCAACTTTACTAGTACAAGTGGGGTAATAACCGTATGAAAGGGTCACAATGGAACTCGACATACCGCAGCCGGAGAAAAAAAAGGGCAATAAATATATTTTGACATGGGAGAGCCTCGCCGCGAGTATATATATATTTAGTATGCGGAGCAATCGTATAACGCTCTCCTTCACTATAATACTCATATATATATATATAATACGTCAATCCAAATGCCTGGACTTTTGCCAGGTGCCCTTTTTTGTTATGCCATGCGAATTATAGCGTCGACGTCCTCTAAGACGACGATAGAAAGGCAAATATTGTAGCAAACAAGGGGTGACATTATAATGTTTTCATTTGCCACGTCCTGCGAACTATATATATATATATATATATGTGCACGCGATCTTCAAAAAATGTCCCACATGAGAATTTAAGATATATATATACTATGTTATATATATATATATATATATATATATATAAATTAACCCTTTTGTGAAATAATCTAAGATAAGACCGCAATTATAATATAAACGTTCTTTAAATTATATATATATATATAGAATTATTTTTGAAATTCTGTAAATTCTTATCTGAAAGATTGTATAAAATGATGATAAAAAATAACATATGCTCTTGCAAATAATTATGCGCCTATGCGACAACTCCCGACAAGATAATTATCGAATTAAAATAATTTGATTTTTAGAAAATAAGTGCGCCTTTTTTCTTATATATATATATAGTAAATATTTGTTTTTTATTTGAAATAACTAAAAATGACTGTAATTATTAAATCTGTGTCTTAAATTTTCTAAAAAGTTATAAAATAAACGAAATAATTTTTTTGGGCTTTAAATTTGTTTTAAAATTATACTACAACAATGAAAACTGATGTGCACATTAAATATTTAATAAATTATTAACTTATTTTTGGATATAGGAAAAAAAAATTTATTTCCTTCAAATAATCTGCTATATACTTATTATTATGAAATAAATATTTGTATCAAACAAATTTTAATTGAATTAAATAAACTGTATTTGTTTCAAAATACAAAAATTATTCATTTAAATACAGTTTATTTAATTCAAATAAAAATTATATTTAGTTCAAGTAAATATTTATTTGATAATAGTCAAGTAACCGATTATTTGATTCAAATAAATTTTTTTTTAATAATAATAATTTGTTAATAATTAAATTAACTTCTTAAAACTGACTTCCTAATTATAAAATTATAACTCGTAAAGTATTAAATCCCTTCGCTTCAACTACAAAAGGGTTAGACATTTATAGCATCCTCGAGGGTGTTAAAATTTAACTCCCTTTTTTTTATTTAAAAAATTAAATATTCGTATTACTCTCTAAATTTTAATTAGTATTCGTTGCACTAATTCAAATTAGTATAGAAATTTTCACTAATTTTTAGTAAAATATTACTATATATATTTGATTTAGCAATGATTTCTTTTCACTATAAAATTTTAGTGAAAAATGCTATACTTAAAAATTAGTAGAAATTTTCACTAATTCAAAATAGTGAACGAATTATCTAACTAATTGAAATTTTGACAGTAAATTTTATTTTTAGAAATAACTAAAAAATTCCTATAAATAAATTTTGTGCCGGAAATTTTTTGAAAGTTCAAATAAAGTTTACAATAAAATATAATTGATAGTTTTAATTATTTATAATAAAACGATTAATAGTTTTCAATTGTTTGGAATAAAAAAATTCATAATTTGAATTTTTACAATAAAAACAATAATTTATATTTGTTCAAAATTTTGATTAAACTTAGCGAAAAAGGTACAAAATCAATAGCGCAAAAAACGTCACTTTTTTATTTGCAATAAAAATTGATTAAAAAAAATATATATATATATATATATATTTTTCTCTTATAGAATCAAAAATTAAAGTTTACTTAAAAATTTCGATTATTTAATATTTTTTGACGGAATTAATTTTTCTGAATAGAAAAAAAATCGTATCGCAGGTAAAAGAAAATAATATAAAACTATCATTATTTTATATGAATTGTTAATGTATCTAATTAAAATTCATAACCTTTTTTTTATTTGCAAACCATTCTTTCTTACTCCGATTTGTTATTTCGTTTTCATAAAAATCGTAAAATTTCTATTAAAATTTCAATTGAAAAAAGTGTTTCTTCGCCCCCAAATAAGAAAAACTATTTGGACAAAAAAAAATTTAATAAATTATCATAAAATAATATCTTCTTCTAAAAATCATAAGAATGTATAAAATTTGTTTTAAAATAATATTAAAAAACACGGATTTTGGCAAAAAAAATTCTCCATAAATTGTCAAAATTTCAAATTTTCCCAAATTTCTTAAATCGTCATTTTTCCAAAATTTAAATATTCAAAAAAAAAAAAAAATAGTAAATTTTTCTTTACCTTGAGAAATAAAAGAATATTTTAAAAAAAGAAACAAAAAATTGGTCATATATATAAAAAAAAAGTGGCGCAAAGAAAGATAGTAACGCACGCGCTATATACACTTTGGAGACTTTAACGCCCGCACAAGGAATATAATTATAAAAAAAAAAAGCACTCACCTTTAATGTTGAAATAATTCAACGACAATTTTTGATGCACTCAAACGATCTCCACGTTATGGGGACAGTCAATGAGATCGTTTGGAAACTTAGTCCTTTACCACATGATAACGATCCAACACTTATTCGATTTTTTTTTCTCTCTTCTTCAGTTTTTAAACTATATATATATATATATATATATAAATCTTCTTTCTGCTGCCTTATATTTAAATTCACATAAAAAATTTTTTTTTTATCCCAAAAAAAAAATTTAACACTTTAACGACGATTTTAACACGTGAAAATTGTTTCTCTTTTTTAAAAAGCAATTTTCAAAGAAAAATTCTATATATATGAGTATAAAATATATATAAAAATATATCCGCGTATCCAAAAAGAGTTGTTGATTTTGAGATGTTTCTACAAGTGCCGACGGCCTCTCTCTCTCAACACACACAAACAGGTGGCAATAAGGAAGATATGGGGGATATTAAATTTAAAAAAAAAATAAATAAATAACCACGATCACAAATAATACAACCACGTCGATGGACGGGAGAAGACTGCCGCTTAGAGATCTGCGACCTGTGCGACTGAGGAAGGTGCCACACAGCTCTCTTTGCCTGAGACGATTTTCTCCTGGCAGGAGTAAAATCGTCCCACCTGTTAACACGCCTGCTTTAGCAACAGCCAATCGTGTTAAAAGGGGACCTAAGACCCAACCAATCATCATTCACAGTTATGTAAGACAAGTACCCCCTGAACACACCCACTTTTTCCCCCTGCGAACTTAACTCCTTGATGTATATACATATATATATATAAAATGCAGTCTTTTCATTGTGTCGAGAGATTCCCCCTGCAACCAGGTGAATTTTAAACTTTTCATCGTAAAACAAAAAAAAATTGATTACCCTTTAATATGTACTTTTTTAATTTTCCTTTTTTTCACAAAACACTTTCAGAAATGAAAATGAATTCTCTCTAAATCTGATATAGTAAAAAATTGTTTGTTTCAAATTATAATTACAATTTTCAATAATATTTACATGTAAAAGTTTACTATTTGATTTAGAATTAATTAGGTATTTTCTTTTTGTAGTAAAAAAATATTTTATTAATTCAAAAAAGAAGAAATATTCTCTCTAAATCTGAATAAGTAGAAATTTTACTAATTCAATCAGTACTTTTCATTTTAACTGAAGTTTCAGTTTTTTTTTTGAAATTTACTAATATAATTAGTGAATATGCAAGCAATAGAAAATAACTTATGTAAAACAGTAATTTGTATATAACATAACCTTTAAAATTAACTATTAAATCAGTAGATTTTGTGGCCGCCGCCATATATTTATACTACTGATTCAATCAGTAATTGATATTTTACTAATTGAATCAGTAATTTTCTACTAATTGTCAGTTGCTCAATTCTCGCTATGGCACTCTCTAAATCTGAATTAGTAAAAATGTTTACTAATTTGAATTAGTGACTCACTTTTTGCTTCTGAATTAGTTAAATTTTACTAATTGATAGTACTATCAATTAGTAAAATTTAACTAATTCAGAAGCAAAAAGTGAGTCACTAATTCTAATTAGTAAACATTTTTACTAATTCAGATTTAGAGAGCAATTAGTAGATTTCTACTGTTAATCAGTAAAATATGACTGATTCAGATTTAGAGAGTTTGTTTGTATGTAGATTTATGTTTTTGGAATTTTGCATTAAAATTATATGCAATAAGTAAACTATTTGTTTTTACTCCATAATTGGAATATTAAAAATAATTAATAATCATTCAATTATGAAAAATTCAACTCTCTAAATCGGAATTACAAGCAAAAAAAGGAATTGCCTTATACAGATGCTAATGATGTTATACTATCGCAGATCTATAAAAATTAGTAACCACAGCTAAATTTTTTTGCTATGACAACGAAAAAGTTTGCTATGATAAAAAATATCAGTCTTAATTTTTAAAAATTTAACTGTCGCAGCAAACTTTTTTGACCACACATCAATAAATTTGTTCACTGTCCATATATATATATTAGCTTGATGTGACAACAAATAATTCGGTGCCACAGCACCGAAAAAAAAATTTCTAAAATTTTTCTATATGCATGTAGTGAAAAGTGGAACTACTAATTTAAATTAGTAAGAATTTTCACTAATTTTTTAGTCATTTCTTACTAAAACTTTAGTAAACAAAATTTTAAAACTAAATTAAATAGTAATATTTTACTAAAAATTAGTAAAAATTCTTATACGTGAACTGCTCACTTTTCACTATAATTCAATTTTTAAAGAGAAAAGTCCGCACTAATTTAAATTAGCGAAAATTTCTAAAATTTATTGTCAATTTTTCATTAAAACTTTAATTGTTAAAAATAAAATTAGATTTCTACTAAACAACTACCCGAATAAAAAAGAAACACGGCCTATATATATCCTATGTACGATTTTTGTAGATTTAAAGACGGCCTTCCTATGTAGGCCATTTAAAATACATTCTAGGTAATCACTATGAAGGCCTTAATATATAGGCCCATGAGATATCGAATCTATGTAGAATATATGTAGGATTCTTTATATCAAATTTATGATGGTCATTCGATGTAGTGTCGACGTAAGGGTAAGTTAGGCCAAAACTACATAGATCTATGTATGTAATTCCTATGTAGAATTTACATAGGCCACAGTATGTAGGCATAAAATAGGCCTTCCTATATATCGTAGAGATAAGTTTTATGTAGGCCAATCCATGTAGGCCTGCATACCCAATTTCTAGGTAGGATCTACGAAGGCCACAGTATGTAGGACTAATATAGACTTTCCTACATAACATATACATAATTTTTATGTAGGCCAGTCCATGTAGGCCGGCATACCCAATTTCTATGTAGGATCTACGACAGTCACAGTAAGTAGGAGTAATATAGGCTTTCCTACATACCATAGAGGTAAGTTTTATGTAGGCTAGTCTTTGTAGGCCTGCATACCTAATTTCTATGTAGGGTCTATGAAGGCCACAATATGTAGGACTGATATAGAATTTCCTACATACCATATACATAAGTTTTATGTAGGCCTGTCCATGTAGGCCGGCATACCCAATTTCTATGTAGGATCTACGACAGCCACAGTAAGTAGGAGTAATATAGGCTTTCCTACATACCATAGAGGTAAGTTTTATGTAGGCTAGTCTTTGTAGGCCTGCATACCTAATTTCTATGTAGGGTCTATGAAGGCCACAATATGTAGGACTGATATAGAATTTCCTACATACCATATACATAAGTTTTATGTAGGCCTGTCCATGTAGGCCGGCATACCCAATTTCTATGTAGGATCTACGACAGCCACAGTAAGTAGGAGTAATATAGGCTTTCCTACATACCATAGAGATATGTTTTATGTAGGCCAGTCTTTGTAGGCCTGCATACCCAATTTCTATGTAGGATCTTTGAAGGCCACAGTATGTAGGACTAACATAGACTTTCCTACATAACATATACATAATTTTTATGTAGGCCAGTCCATGTAGGCCGGCATACCCAATTTCTATGTAGGATCTACGACAGTCACAGTATGTAGGACTAACATAGGCTTTCCTACATACCATAGAGGTAAGTTTTATGTAGGTCACTCTATGTAGGCTTACATATCCAAGTTCTATATAGGATATCCGTTGGTCATCATATGTAGGAATGATGTAAACCTTTCGATACAACATAGAGATAGGTTTTATGAAGGGTTATCTATGTAGGTATGTATATCTAATATATACGGAGGTCCTACGTAGACCATCATATGTCAGAATGATATAAGATTTCCAATATATAATCAAATATATAATATATATATACCCTAATAACACAAGATATCTTGGGATATATTGATAACATCCCGAAGATATCCTAGGGATGTTCTATTGATAACATCCCGAAGATATCCTAGGGATGTTCTATGGATATCAAAAGGATCTCTTAAGGGTATCCAAAAAATCGGCGGTTTGGATATCCTTTGGACATCCCATGGATATCTGAGGATATCCACAGGATATTTTCTGGATATCTCTATAGACTCTCATAAATGTCCTCCAGATATCCCATAGATATCGTTAGGATATCTCACAGATATTTTCAGGATATCTTCTAGATGTCAAGAAGATATTCTCAGGATACTGTTTTTAAAGTCATTATGAGACTACGAGTGAAAATATTCTGTGAATTAAATTTTATATAAATAAAATAAAATGCAACTTGTTTTTCGAGAAAGTTGTTTAATTTGAAAAATTATTAACTAATTTTTTCTGATTCGTGATTCATTCCTTTATTCATATGCTTAATATTGTCAGAAAATAAATTGGCTTTAAACAATATAAATTCTTCCCCGCAAGTAACGAATAACTATTAATATTAATTATACATTAAGTGCATGAGTTTATTTAAAAACTTTGAAAAATGCGTTTCAAATCTTCATTTAAAATAAATTAGAAGCTCATAAAATTTTTGTTTTTATTATATTATTATTCATTATATAATGATGTCCCACAGACCGGCGGTTTGGATATCGTAGGGATATCCTGGGGACCATTCTAGGATATCGACCATTGATATGGATATCCTTTTGTTATGAGGGTATACATAGATATGTATACTGTAAATTTAAATTTATTTCGTCAACAAAGAAAGATTTTTGTTCTTGAGCTATTTTTTGCTTTAGAAAGTTGTCATATATCTGATTGATTTTAGCTATCATAGTAATAATGTCCGCCTCATGGTAATATTACAGTAACATTACAATAATATTACTGTAATATTACACTAATATTACAATAATATTACTGTAATATTACATTAATATTACACGTTTATTTGAAATACATAAAATTTTTCAAGTTTTTTATGATATAACACACAAAGAGATAATAATTAATCAGTCAAATATTTTAAAGTATTTTTTGAAATATTTTGTAATATTACCATGAGACGAACATTTTATTAATACAGTAATATTACCGGGTTTTTAATCTAAAATTAAAATTTTCTAACTCGTGTAGCCCGAGATTTTTGGAAGAGATAGAAATACGTACTATATACACTGTAAAAGTGTACACTGTGTATAAACTGTAAAGTGAAAGTTTACAGGTATAACTTAAGTGAAAAGGGATTTCTATCAACCTGACCATGCACTTAGCTAAAATATCCTATGCAGTTATACAGTAGTTGTTCGTCTTTCGAGGAAAGAATATCTCTACGAAAGAATATTTTTCGCGCAAGTATCGACAGGATTGTGAGTGCTTATAATGGAAGAGCGACGTCGAGAACTAACAAAACTGCGTGTTCGCAAACATCGAAGAATGAAAAAAGATTTACTTAAGTGGCAATCTTTGGCACATCAAGGATCAATTGATTTTGTGACAGAACCTAGTAAGTGCAGAAGAAATATTACCGAATTAATTTAATCCATTCACTAGATTGAGGAAATATTACTACACTGAAAAAGAAATTTATTTGGATCAAATAAAAAGTATTTGATCCACATACATCATTTACTTGTCTATTATCCTGATCAATTGTCCGGATGTGAGAATATATTTGTAATGTAAGAATTTTTTGATTCAAATAAATCAAAATTTGAATTTAATAAATAACGAAATAAATAAATTAATTGTTTCAAGTAAATCATTATTATCATTTCAAATAAATATTTAATTAATTGAAATATTTTTTTACTTGTCTTGATAAAATAGGGTATTAGTATTAAATAATTTAGTTTACTTCAATCCATTAAATAAAGTTATTGTATCAAATACTTTTTATTTGTTTCAACAAAACGAAATATTTGGTGAAATAAATAAATAAATTTTTTCAAGTAAATCATTATTATCGTTCCAAATAAATATTTAATTAATTGAAATATTTTTTATTTATCTTGATAAATTAGTGTATTAGGATTAAATAACGAATTATTTGTATTAAATAATTCAGTTTATTTGAATCAATTACATAAATTTATTGTGTCAAATACTTCTTATTTGTATGAAATAAACGAAATATTTTATTGAATTAAATTAATGAATAGTTTCAAGTAACTCATTATTTGTATTAAATAAATTCATTTATTCAATTCAAATAATTATTTAATTGAACCAAATACAATTTATTTGGTTCAAATAAATGCGATTCAAATAATTCAAGTTATTTGAATCAAATACATATTTTTTTGATTCAAATAAAAAGTACTTAAACCAATTAAATATTTTTCAAATAATTTGAAGTATTTGAATCAAATAAATTTTTTTTCAGTGTATGTAGATCCAAAATGTAAAAAAATGTATTGTGAACGAATTTTTTGAAACTTGGTATATATACGGGTTTTGGGAGTCGCTGAATTCTAATTTGGTTTCAAAATTAAAAATGTCGGATCCAAAATGTCGGACATTATTTTTTTACATTGTGTGGAATCTTATGAAACTTGCACAGGGGGGGGTTTAGTTCACTAAATTTAAAGTTAAGCATAAAATTCAAAAATGCAAAATGGAGGATTGATTATTACAAATTTAATTTTATAGACACCATTTCTTCAGAGGACGAGGAAATGTTTATCAATGAAAATAAAGTTCAACATCATAATGAACTTATTTATCATGCAGATTCTGACGAGATAGAAAATAATGAAATAGAATCAGAATGCGCTGAAGATCGAAATGAAAATTTAAAAATTGAAGACAACAATTCTAACTTTGGTAAAATTCTTAACTTTACATTATTGTTTTTATTTTAATTAAGAATTTCGTACTATTAACATTGCGTTTTATTATTATATAGGAATGGATATAAACGATGTAGCTGAAAATAAGGAGATGAAAGCTGATAAGATAGAGGAGAGATATTTAAACGAAGTAATTTATCAAAATACAGATAAAGAAACTCAAGAAACAGAAGTAAATGAAGAATTTTTTAATGACCAAGATAAAGAATCTTATTATAGTTATGATGACGATGACGAATATCAATCTAGCGATTTAGAAGACTTGTTACAAAATTCAGAAAATGATGAAGAAGAACAATTGAGAGAATGGGCAATTAAAGGTAATATTTCTTGGGTTCTTATATCTCAATTGCTTCTTATTCTACGACGTCGATTAATGCCACAACTTCCGAAGACAGCGTCAACATTTTTAAATCTAAAAACAGACTTTTGTATTAAACCTATGACAACTTCCTTATATAAAAATGCTGAGTTTGTGTATTTTGGAATTGCAAAAGGTCTTGCTTCGTGTTTTAATCCTTCTCTGCATCCAGATGAAATTATCTATTTAGATATTAATATCGATGGAGCACCTCTTTGGAAATCAAGTTCAAATGAATTTTGGCCTATATTGTGTAGAGTTCATTATTTACATGACAATGTTTATCCTCCTTTTCCAGTTGCGATTTATTTAGGTTCTGGAAAACCTCAAGATTTAGATTTGTTTTTAGATGAATTTATAAAAGAATTAAATAATTATCAAAAAAATGGAATCGTGCTGGAAGGTAAGTTGTACAAATTGCGGATGAAAAGTTGGATTTTAGACACTCCTGCAAGAGCGCTTGTAAAATGTGTAAAAGGCCATGCTGGTTATTTTTCTTGTGAGAGATGTGAGGTGATGGGAGAAAGGTGCGAAAACCGTACAATTTTTGCAGATACGAATGCAACAAACAGGACAGATAAAAGTTTCCGTGATCAAAAACAGTCTGAACACCATAAAGGCGTTTCACCGTTATTAAAATTGTCCGGTTTGAATATGATTAAAATGTTTGTTTTAGACTTTATGCACTTAGGTTTTTTAGGCATAATGAAAAAGTTACTTTCTTTGTGGTTAACTAGCACAATTCGAAAATTTAAATTTTCATCATCGCAGAAAGAAATAATAAATTTCATGTTATATGAATTGAGAAATCAAATACCATGTGAGTTTCAACGTAAGACTGATACATTAAATGAAATCTCACTATGGAAAGCTACTCAATTCAGTTTTTTTTTGTTGTACGCCGGTATTGTAATATTAAAAAAAATTTTAACTCCAAAGTACTACAATCACTTTCTGTTACTTTTCACCAGTTGTAGAATTTTGTGTTGCAAAGAATTAGCAGTAAAATATAATGCTGAAGCTAGGTTATATTTGAATAGATTTGTTTCGCTTATGATAAAATTGTATGGAAAATCTACTATTTCGATTAACGTGCATAACCTTCTTCATATCGCAGATGATGTGAAGAACATGAATTGTCATTTAAGTTTAATTAACAGTTATGCATTTGAAAGTTTATTAGGTAAAATGAAAAAAACATTGCGATCTGGCAACAAACCTATTCAACAGCTGTGTAATCGTATGCATGAAATGTTTTTTAGAAGAAAAAAAGTTACCCCTGCTCCACAAATATTATCAATAATAAAAGAGAATCTTTCTGAGATATTAAAAATAAAATATCAACAAGCAGTGCTTACTTCAAAAAGTCCTGACAATATTGTTCTTCTTGAAAACGGTAAATGCTTTGAAATAAAGAAAATTTATAGAGACAGCCAAAATATTGATAACATTTATGTAGAAGGTGTACAATGGATTAAAGAAAAACCATTCTTTACGTATCCAACAAATTCTGAGACATTAGGAATCTGGAAATTACACGATAATCCAAGTAATGTAAAGGATACTATTTCCATTTACAAAATTAAAAAGAAACTTGTTAAGTTAACTGTGAGATCAGCTTCAAATGAACCAAAAACTGTCGTTGTGATACCATTACTTCATTGATAATAATAATTATTAACAATAAAGTAATGGTCCACAATAAGATGTATTATAACCATTGTAAATATTATTGTAAAATTAAAGACAATTTTCTAAATAAAAAGTAAATTTCTAAGTAAATTACTGCGCAGCCTTTGAGTTTTTAATTTTTACTAAACGAAGAAGAAGATTTTCAATAAGTATATTCATAGAAAAAAACTGAACTCAAAATGAGTAGCGTACGCTACTCATTTACGTGCAGCAACAATGATCTGGTTTGACTCAATTTGAGTTTTTATTGAAATTTTTTAAATTGAACCCGGTTACGTTCATTTTGAATTCAAGATTACCCAATCAAAAATTTACTAATGGCGCAGTACTGACAAGTGTTGGCGCAGTACTGGCACCCAGTATTGGCGCCAGAGTTGGCGTAACTTTGGGATGATAACATTTTACCAGTATTGGCTGCCAGAGTTGGCACCAGTACTGGTACCCACTACTGGTTCAGTACTGGCTGAGTACTGGTAGTTTTGTAATTTATTGTATACAAAAAGAAAGCTTTAACTGTAACAGAGATAAGTTTCACTGCAATAGTGAAATCTCTGCTCCAGGCAATATATCTGAAAACAATAAAAAAAACTTGCAAAATGTTTTGGAATTAGTCTCAGGAAACTTTTTGTTTTAATAATTTTACCCACAAAAAAGCAAAATAAAATACCTTTTAATTTTCAAAAATAAAATCAAAGTGAAAAAATTTTTATAAAAAAAATTATTCATCGGGTTCACTCTAGAACTTTTTGTAAACTAGTATTAATCAAAATGAAAATCTATTTTAGTCAGTGCTGGCTCAATATCGGCTCAGTACTGGTTTACCAGTACTGCACCAGTACTGATGCTGAACCAGTACTGCGCCAGTAGTTAACTCTGGTATAATACTGAAATTTTTGGTTGGGTAATGTTAAATTATTGTCGACAAACAATTACTTAAAAAAATATTAAATATAATAATTATTGTAATTATAAATAAGCACTACTACAAATTATTGAAAATCATAAAATATTATTATACACCCTGAAAAATTTTTTCAATAAAGTAAGGATAGAAAATTTTTTTCTTATCTCCAAAGTATTTTGTCTTTTCGAATAGTTTGTCACATCTGGTTTGGCTCAAGTTTACCAGCTATAAAGGTTTCCCATTTAAAAAGGGACTATTTTATGACGTTTTCGGTACCCGTTTTTTTCATAGACGTATGCAAACCCAAAATTTGTGAATTTTTTTTATTTTGAAATAGAAATGTTCGAAACTTGTCGATGTTTTCCGAGGACTTTTTCTTCAAAAAGCCTTTCAATCTTTAGTTGCTGTTCAGCATTTGCCGGACAGATACCAAATCCGCGAGTGACAACTCAAAATCAAAGTTATTTTCTTTGCAAGTTATTTTCTCTGTGAAGTGATCGATTTGAGGATTAATATTGAAAAAATACATAAGAGGTAAATAAAAATTAAAAATATTTAATTAAAAATACTTATACCCACATTGAATAACGGAACCTAGACTACACGAGCTTAAAATTATAAGATACTCTGTAAATCTGAATAAGTGAAATTTCACTTATAATTTTTTAAAAGTCTTTTACGTCGAAAAATAAGTGTATGCGCAATTGAAAATAAGTGAAACTTCACTTATTTTTAAATATACACTTATTTTTATACGTGAAAGATTTTTGAAACATTCTTAGTGAAATTTCACTTATTCTGATTTAGAGAGTATATTTTATTTTTGTTAAAGATTCTTTTTTCAAAGTGCGTCACAATTTTAATTTTTACGTCAAATGATTTTATGTCATATGAAATTTCCCAAGTAGCACGTAATATTACAGTAATATTAAAATGTCTGCCTCATGGTAATATTACTGTAATATTACAGTATTACAACAATATCAACCAGTAATATTACTGTAATATTTCAAAAAATTTCAAATAACACTTAAAAACATTTGACTGATTAATTCTTATCTTTTTTTATTTTATCATAAAAAAATTTTGAAATTTTTATGTATTTCAAATAAACGTGTAATATTACAGTAATATTAACCGGTAATATTACCATGAGGCGGACATTTTAATATTACTGTAATATGTTACTTGGGTTGTGGTTTAATCATCGAGTCATTTAAATTATTGTACAAGATATTTGTAAAAATGGACGGAAAATGGGACAACGATGGTAGTAGGATCTTGCTATACATATAATTTTCATTGAGCCGAATTTTATTCGTTCGAAATATAACTTTGTAGAATTTTCATTAAAATGATTTTCTATAGTACAGAATTTTTATATAATCGAAAATTTATTTCACAGAATTTTTATTTTTTCAAATTTTTATTTATCAGAATTTTTTGATCGATTTTTTATTTAACATAACAGTCATTTTAATGAACTTTTAGTGGGTAGAACTATATTGTATATAATTTTATTTTAGACGCATTTACATTTTTTCCAATTATTATTTGATACAATTTCAATATAATCGATTTTTCATACTACAGAATTTATACTTAACCGAAAAATAAAATTTCCAATATTTCATATGCAGGAAAATGGCAGAAAATAAAGTATTTAAAATAGTAGAGTTCATAGAGTACTCCACAAGTGATAAAAGAAGTGTCGATGTCGTTTATGCAACACACATCAGGTATGACTCTGTTCGAGGTTTATTAGCCAAATTCATGGATGGTCCATCATATACAAAAGAAGATTCTCAATTAATTCGGGAGATAGTAAAAAATAAAGTATCTGCGCCTGAAGACTGGCCGGAGTTTAAAGTCAAAATTATCGTGGAGACAGGTTTGTTTTTTGTTGAAATTAAATTTTTGATATATACACCCAAAAAAAAGTAATCTTAAATTTAGAGGAAAATTCCTCTTCTAAAATCCTCTGAATATTTCCTCTTAAAATACGAATATTCCATTTGACTGTAGAATATTTTTATTCTTTGTTGTAATGGAACAATGACAAAAGGAGTACTTTTGCATTTAAATGTTTAAATTTATTGTTATAGTATATTTGAAAAAAGGAAAAGTAAATACATGATATCGATTACATTTTTTTCCTGTTTGACATTTGCGCTTTTGTTTTTCGAAACTGTCAATTTTCGTATTTTGTCACAATAGTGTTGTGTTATAAATCGAAATTCCAAAATGGAAAAGAGACTCGAAGATTTACTAAATGATTTAAATCTGGGTGGATATATTGAATGGAGGTATAAATACAGAAAATATAACCTCTCGATGAATCTTCATTTCTTACTAATTTTCTTAAATATTTGCAACTGGCTATAGCATTTTTTATTATTATTGTAATTAAATCTAATCTATTGATGCTCAGCAAAAAGCAAGAAATTTTTTTCAGAAATGTTTAATTAAAAACCAATATTTCATTCTTTATTCCAGGAATCTATTATAATTTACCTTTTTTGAATGTAAATAATTAAATCTTATTAAATATTTATTATATTATTCAAATTTAAAAAAATTATTGGTTCTCTTGACATTAATAACACTAGGAATTTTTTTTGTTGAGGTTTTGATATCAACATTTAATTCAATGCGTCAAAACTGTACTTTATTATCAATACATAACCATTATTGTCTAATAATTTATTCAAAACCTGTGTATTACGGTTATTTTCAACTTGTCAAAATATTTTAATATTATTCTTCCTTTATGAGGATTTTTTCGAGAGGAAAATCCTTTTAAATTAAGATTATTACTTTTGATACCAAAATTAAGAGGAAAATATGCATTACATTTAGAGGAATCCTCTAGAATGAAGATTACTTTTTTTAAGGTGTAAAATACTCTCTAAATCTAAATCTGAATTTCTTTATTTTTTTATTTCTTTTATTATATATATATTCTGCTTCAGAAAGTGCACATCTGATTTGTCTTGGTTATTATAGTTTCTCGTTGTTAGGGGCTCCTTTTGTGAATTTTTCACGATTTTTTTAATATACTTTTCCAGGCAGGAAGTTTGTGAAATTTTTTAATAGGAAGATTGAAAACTATCGTTTCACTTTTAAGTTATACAAAAAAAATTGTCTTTTCACTAAAAATGGCTAGTTATAAATCCTTTTTAAATATAATAGAAAATCCTATCGTAAATGCATTTGAAACATATGTTCTGGTTATGGTATGGTTAGCTTGATTGAGGAAAGAAAAATACCCATAGTAGGGATGAAAAGCGAAACCTTTTTTCATAGAAAGAGAGGTGATACATAAGAGCGAGAGAGAACAATGAATTTGAAAAGGGACACGCAGTGAGTTTTGCCTGCGTACTCTCTCTTTCTCACTACGATGTATAGTCACTATTATATTTGAAATTCTCAATCGTTTCGGATTGTAAGTTTTACTAATATCATTAATTCCTTGAAATTTTTTTTACATATATCTTTTACTTTAATTTAATGTAATAATAATATAATAATAATAAATAATACATAATAAATAATAAACAATAAATAATAAGCAATAAATAATAAATATTAAACAATAAATAATAAACAATTAACAATAAATAGTAATATAATTTAAAAATTTTATTTGAAGAGATATTAAATTTTAGAATATTCCATTTTTAAAATATCTTCTGCTGCTTATGTTTGGTACTTATATTGCGTCATTTCACTCACACCAGATCAGATTTCCAAACAAAATTGCATATGTGCCTAAAATGCTTCTCGAAGGAAAAGGTTCTTTTCTTTATATACGCTTTGTTGCCAAGTGAAAGATGATGTCATTTCAAATCAGTTTGTGTTCGACTTTTGTCGTGAGTAAACTTCGTGAGAGGTTTTTTTTACAATCATGCAGTGTTTTCTAATAGAGATTTTTCTCAACCCAATTTAAATTAATCCGAATTTTTACTCAGAATAGGGCATTGTTGTCTATGGTGCTAGTGTTCGTTATCCATGTCCATGACAATTGTGAAAATAAACTATCAATGACAAAAGTTTTGAATTTTTTATG